AAAAAAAAAAAAAAAAAGGAAAACAAATAATGGGTCGGCTGATGGGCCCTCCAATTTTTAGATACAAGTAGCTTATCAAGGTATTTGCCCAAATCTAAAAACCCTAGTTTAAAGGCAAGAAGAGGAGCCCAATTTCAGATCCAAGAGCATATTTAAAAAAATTAAAGGGCAACTGGGTAAGGTGGCGAGAGAGAGGCGCCGCAATGTAATTTTACATCAGCCCCTGCCATCTCCCGCCAGGGAGGCGCCATTTAAAACACTGCAAATATCACCTCAAAAAATAAATGTATGTTTATGCATGTATATGCTATCATAAATTCAATAACAAAACTGCAAATCAGCAATTAGCTGTCAAGAAGAAGAGGGGTTCACATACAACAAACAGCAGTGATGGAATAAGAGGCAAAAAGATGTGAAGCATCTGCATCCATCGGATATTCTTACCTCAATTAATTGCCAGAACTCCATGACAGATTTTGCCAATGAATGAGCAACTTTCTTTGCCTCCAAATGAAACCGACTCTCTTGTTTTGTCACACGACAAGTAAAAGCAGCCTTAGAACTCAATTGAGCTGCAGAAGCTATTTTCCAAATACGCTCCTACACAACAAGGAAGCTCTCAAAAGAGAGACTGGAAACTGAATAGCATCCTGGAAAGGAATTATTTCTATGCCATATAAACTGTGCAGATCAATATACTCCAAAAGAAATGGTTAAAATACATGAAACAAAAACATAATGTTCCGAACATTGGTGAAGTCAAACCTGTGCGAAATCATTTGCCAACCATGCCATTTCTTCAAGCAAATAATCCCAATGAGATTTAAGGCGGGTTTTCTTTGGGGAGTTCGTAACGGACAACTCAGCTATCCTCTTTCGCTTGGCCTAATCACTACGACATATCAGATACTTGGGTCCAAACATCAACATGGAACCATATTACAGAATTCAGATTTAAAAATGACAATTTAACCTCTATGATTTTTGCTTCTTTCAAGATTGAGTCTTCATCAACTGTTCTTATCAATATCGAATCAGACCCTGGAAATGTGTGAGCCCCAATGGGAGCAGTCGAAACCGCAATCGACGATCCCCCCCCAGGAATATCTGGAACTGACATATCAATAGAATCCTGGTGCCTAAGAGAGCAAGGACTTTCATTACTCACGCCAGCTTGATCAGCGGACAGGTCAGCGAATTTCCTTCCTGAGTCAGATTCAATGAGTTTGCTAGCTCCCATTCCTCCATAATCAGTTTGGTCTTTCACCTTGTTTTTCAAAGCAGATCCATTCACATTCAATTCATTCTCTGGATGGAGTTTTACTCCATCCTCTAGCTCAGTTCGATATGTAACAGAGCTCTCCACAGTGACAGGAGCAGAACTGTCCGCACCACTTTCTTTCTTTTCTTTCACTGACTCATCACCTCCAAGAACTGGAACCTTATCTGGTACTGAGATTTGATCTTTAATCTGCCCATTCGAGTCAGTCATTTTAGTATCAGCATCATTAGTTCCATTAATACTTTGACTGATTTGAGTGCCGGATGACTCAGAATCCAATCCCTTCACGCCGCATGACGCACTGCTATGAGCATCATGTCTCGTTCTCTCACCCTTTTTGCTGCTGAAACCATTCATCTTATGGGAATCGGATTTATTCTCAATTTTAATAGCAGTCACACCTGGCTGACACTCAATATCTGCAAAACTCACCTGTTCAAATGCCACAATGGTCTGGGGTCCATCCGAATCCATCTTAATGGGAGTTCCCAGAACTGACGGAGATTGCTGGCTATGTTTAACATGGAATGGTATTTCACACGCAATAGCATCTGATGCTGAATTCAACGAATGACCTTCTGTTAGATCTTTAGTTGGTTTTACAGCCTTTGTGCCATCAAACTCAATATCCTGCTGGCTACCCGCAAATCCAGTCTTCTGAAGGGTATTATCTACTGGACTAGCAGGCTTTGAATTCGAAGTCGATAATATAATTGGGTTTTCTAAATCAGACATCAACCCTTTAGCATCCTTGGGTTCATGACGAGAAGGTATAGAAGAGGGATGAATGCCATGTGTTGGATTTACATCAGTTGAACTTGACCTAGTTCCATCACGATTTGGTCGGGACCTGTACCGCCTCTTATATGCTTTTCTGGGGCGGTCAAAAACAGTTGAATCCCCATGTTCCCCAATTCTACTAATGCTACCATTATGGGATAACTTTTCTGATGACACTATGTTACTCCTACAAGGATGTGATGGCATCCTATTGCCCTCAGATAACTCACATTCAGCATCAAATAACAAAAGATTGTCCGCACTATTGGGTTCACAAGGATTTGTCCCAAGTCTACCACTACTTTCAACAGAGTCTCCATGAGGCGATGCGGCAAATGCAAAACTACCTTTTGCTTCACTGTAGTGCCAAAAAAATTAAGCAAAAATTAAACCTAAGGTCATAGAACCTGAAGGCAATTAGATAAACTAATAATCATAATTCCATCTATACAATAATACCTGGTCACAAGTTGATCAGCATGTTGTTCAGCAAACGAAGTAGATTGCACACTAATTGAAGCAGCATTCCCACTCTCAAGTTCTAAAGGATTGCCACCCTGTCAAAAAAAAAAAGGGAAGAAGAAGAAGAATCAGGAACTGCAAATGTTCAATACGTTGACTAGAACCAAAAAATGTCAGAGCTCCATACTTCCAAAAGAAATTCCAACTCTTTTTTCGTTTTGTCCCGAATCTCACACTCCTGCCTGTTATCACAAGAAATCGTTCATGGCAATGACAAGACAACTTCAGAACAAACATGAGCAAGTAATCAGAGATTTACAGAACCACAAAGTAATCAGAGATTTACAGAACCACTACCTGAGCTCTGCTTGACTCTTCTCAATTTCTGCTTGCCTGGGAGAAGTTTTGCCATTAATACCAATTCCGTCTTCAACAGCTCCTCCCATAGAAACAAATTGGGAATTGACTAAGAAAACAGATGTTGGACTGCATCCATAAACTTCGCAGTTCCACAGCTACAGATGACTTCCTCCATCATCACAAGACCAAAAGCAAACACCTAAATTCGAAAGAACATAAACAAAACGGCTCAAAGGAGAATAAGATTTGGAAAACATATTAAATAGCAAGAACGTTATGTACGCAAAGCAAAGGAATTTTCTATATTTTCTTTTTGATGTGGAGGGACCAGAGTAACTGTAAGAAACATCATCAATAGTATATAATGTTACTAATGCTACCAGCCTGAACAGAGAGAGTTCACGCCCAAGAATCTTGAATATAATAATGCAATAAATCTGGGAAATAACAGAAAAAACATTTTAAGTCACAAAAACTAAATAGCTTATTAAGATAGGGTCCCTTATCCTAAGAGACTAGATCAACAGTACATAGCATCTCCACACTGCATTGCCTAAACCTATAGATCAAGGTTTTGAATTGCAAGATAGAACAAAAAGATGACAGAGAAGGTGACAAGAAAAATTCAGTGAAAAACGTATAACAAATGAAAAACAATGATAAAACCATCAACTAAGAGAAAGGTCATGGATAAAAGATATTTGCCAATATGGAGGAACTCGAAACATAGAAAACTGTACTCACATAATCTCCCATAATCCCAATATGGAAGACACTTAAGGCATCAATAAGATAGTGCATTAAACATGCAGAGGCAATGTCAAACAACATGCTCATTAAAGCTTCATAAAATATAGGCAAAGCCAGAAGAAAGCTAGACAATTCTAAAGAAGAGCAGACAAAAAACAAACATAATCGCCAGGTTACAATAAGTTGCATGCACAAGTATTAGCATTGGTATCTTAGCTACTCGGTGAATTGACCTTATTGGACCACGATACCTAAATTGGATTGAATAAATTTAAAAAACTCTTACCTTTAGTGGCTCCAAAAAGGCTTCTCATTTCTTTTCTTCTTTTTGTTATCAAATCTGTATTTATCAAATTCACTGTTATTCTCTATTCATGCTATATTTTGTTAATAATTAATGTTTGTGGTAAATATTTGTTTAGAAAGGACAAATCTCTCTCCTTAACAGTTTTCACAAAAGGATTTTGAGTGTGGATTACTTTAAATTATAATTATTATTTTGTAATCTTAATCAATATTTTCTAAATAAAGCATAAATATAAAAGGGAATTTTTATTTTCTTCGAGACTTTATTTAAAAGAAAAAAAAGGCCCAGAACTATCATTTGGAACGCGACAATGTAGAACGTAAAGCTATTTAACATATGTTCTCATGTTTATATTAGCCTAACTGATCAACTAACAGCTACAGAAAAATGCGGCAAACCCAAAAAGGTAGAGCTCAGCTAATACAGCATGCAAACCAAGAAGAGATGAGAACCCTACAAGAGCAACTAAAAAACCATACCTCCCCTGATAATTCAATCAAAATGCACGAAAAGCAACAGCGAGCAAAACAAATTATCATCAAGCAGACAAAAAAGAGGTGCAGAAAACCTCTAGGGTTACAGCAAACTTGAGCAGAGCTTCAAATTCTAGGTTTCTTTAGCTGGGGAATGCCAGAATAGTACCTCAATTGCGACAAATCTTTAGCTGGGAGGCTCCAATTTTCGTTTTGCTCCAAGGGTTTTGCATCTGATGAACAAAGGGTACCTCAACTCAAAGCATAAATTTCCCAAAGAGTACGTAAAATTGCCACAACCCTACACGCATGGACACAGAGATTAATAGATACATACAAAATACGAGTACGTATAGGTCAGTGCTTGTTTGTTCTGCTTGTGATTTTAGTACAGAATGGTGCCTCAGACTTGTTGTCCCCTTCTGTGCTTCTTCGTTTCCCAAAACTTTCTCTCTCTAAAATGGCTGGTAATTTTAATTTTCTTTCTCTAATAGAAGAAGAGATTGTACAGAAAAAAATTCGCTTGATGAAATGGGCTGGATACGCAGACAGATTTTACTTGGGCGTTGGGCCATTATTATAATTTTTTTTTTTTTAGATGGGCTAGGCCTTAAATATGTTGTCATTATATAGACCTGTCCAAATGATGATATGGACATTACCAAATTAATCAACTTTTGGGTTTTAGGGGTGTTGATAACATTTAGTTACCAACCTAATTAGGCAAAAATCGATAACCCTCATATATTTGACATAATATTACAAAAATGGTTTCCACAATTTATAATGGGAAAAAAAATTTGTTCACCCCATAACAAAGACAAATTAAGTTTTTCACACCGCCCAATAAAAAGCTAAGTTTTTCACCCCAAAAAGTGCGAAGGTTATGCGAAAACTGTCGCATATTCATCGCATAAGTATACATATGCGAAGGTTATGCGAAAAACTGTCGAATAACTGTCGCATATCAATTGCATAATTGTCGCATATTCATCGCACAATGCCTTCGCACAGTTATGCAATTGATATGCGACAGTTTTTTCGCATAACCTTCGCATATGGACAGTTATGCGATGAATATGCGATAATTTTCGCATAACCTTCGCACAGTTATGCAATTGATATGCGACAGTTATGCGACAGTTTTTCGCATAACCTTCGCATATGGACAATTATGCGATGAATATGCGACAGTTTTCGCATAACATTCGCACTCTCTGGGGTGAAAAACTTAGCTTTTTATTGGGCGGTGTGAAAAACATAACAACACTTCAAAACGGGGTGAAAAATAGATATTTTCACATTTATAATTCCCCTACTACGTTAAAATAATTTTAACTACATGACCGTTGGTTGACAGCCTAAATTGATAACTACCTACTCCCACTACAAAGACACGAATATAACCTCCAAAAGAATTGACAGAAACAACTCTCATTCTTAACTCATCATTAAAAAAAAAGAACTAATACATCTGAAAGAGAAATATAAAAACATATGTTCAGCATCAGAGAAAAGAACACAAAGGTCTGATACTAAGAGTAAGTTAATATGCTACCACCATTTCTTTTCATATTTCTTAATCTTTTCATATTTCTTAATTTATCTGTTGTGAATGTTATTTCACAACTTCACAGCAAGCTCGTGGAAACCCTGGAAATGAACCCATCAACTGATATCGTATCAATGAAGTACCAAGTGAGTGATACGTACCCACCAATAACAATAAACGATGACAAGAGCCTCCAGTTTTACAAAGAGTTGAAAAAAGGGAAGTCGACTATACCCGATTTCCCATTTGTACAACCTTGGAAAAATCAACTACAACCTAACTCTGCAACCCAATCACAATATTGAAGAATTGGAGGAATTCCCCTATACGATAGAGCCTTTACAGTTGATGCCCCTTAGAATGTGTGGAAGAACAGAGACTGAGACATACCGAGAATATGCTGAAAAATCTTCAAAAGCACTGGCTATTCACATAGAAGAAACCATGGAAAAAATGGTCAACCATAAAGAAGTAGAACACATTGACAACCGAGATACCGACATATACCTTGGACAAACATTTGATTACAAGCAGCAGTTGAAACATACATTGAGTATATATGCCACCAAACATCATTTTCAGTGTATGGTTGTGAAGTCTTGCCCAAAATAATACACCATTAAAGGCATCGACGAGAGTTGTCCATGGGATACGAAGGCTTTGTCGATTGGCGACACAACCAAATTTAAGGTAATGAAAGATATCCACAAATGTGCTCTCGGTAAACGAATGAACAACAAACGTCAGGCCACAGCAAGTGTCGTAAGTTCATGCATAAAGGACAAATTCGACAACTTGAAAACACACTACACACCAGCGGATGTTATCCGGGACATGAATAGTCTTTATAAGGTTGATCTGTCGTACAAACGAGCTTGGCGTGCAAGACGAAAGGCTTTAGAGGCAGTTCAGGAAAATCCGTACAAATCATACCAGCTAATACTGGGATATCTCCAAAGTTTGTCTGTATCGAATCCAGGATCATTTGTAAAGCTGAAGACAACAGAAAACAACATTTTCGAATATGTTTTATATCATTGAAGGCCTCGATTGAAGGGTGAAAATATTGTCGTCCTATAATTGTTGTTGATGGAACATTTCTAAAAGCAACATTTGGAGGCACGCTTATTACAGCAAGTACGCAGGATGCATCCTCCCATATATTACCACTAGCTTATGGCGTTGTAGACTCAGAAAACAACAAAGCTTATGAATGGTTTTTTGAAAATCTGAAGTCAACACTGAGTGAAAGAGAAAGGCTATGCATTGTTTCAGATCAACACCAGAGTATAAAGTTTGCCATTAACAGGGTACTATTAAAAAACTCATTTTAAAATATTTGTCAGCATTAACCTGGAAAAAAAATCATGAGACACATTTGTTCCAAAAGATGTAACCAGTAATTACCTTAATTAACACATCTTGATTTATTATAAATAAATTACAAAAGTTAATGAGTAACAATAATTTTATATTTCATGATAACCACTATATATTTTACAAAATGTTGTAACAGGTGTACCCGAATGCTGCGCATTGCAATTACATTTACCATTTGTCTAAGAATATAGCCAAAAAGTACAAAAAAAATATAGAAGCGGTGAAAGAGGGATTCATGGCTGCAACCAAAGCATATCTGAGTACGATTTCAATCGACACATGGGTGCGATAGAGAAAGCAGACCCTCGAGTCATTGCATACCTAGAAGATGAAATTGGTGTGGAAAGATGGTCTCGAATGCATTGTAAAAGCAACTGCTTTTTGACTATGACCTCAAATGCCACTGAAACCATCAATTCAACCATGAAAGTTGCACGTGAACTACCTATTACATTGCTACTTGAGTGTTTGAGAGGAATGCAACAAGGATGAAATGTTAAAAACAAAGCAAAAGCAAATGGAACATTCACGAAACTAGCAAAGCTTGGACACAATGTTGGAAGAAAATTACAAAGCGTCAATGCATTTAACAGTAAGTATTCAAATACTAATTAAAAACATAAT